ATTAATAAAATTTAATAAAAAAAAATAAAGACTAAGCTTCACCGGACTCAAGCCATAGAATTTTCAATTGCTTCATATTCACGTGAAAGTTGTACAATGAGAAAGACAGAAGAAGACTTGGTACCGAGGAGTTGTGATGTTATTGAAGAATCCTGGCTATCCTACAGACTGCCAAAGAACAAACAAGTCTGCCTTGGATGAAGTACAAACAGGGTGCTCCTTAAGTAAGGATAGTGAAACTTCATCTCACAGACTTTGGAATTGTTGTCAGGAGAAACCAGCCATTGGAAAAAGACATCATGCGTGGAAGAGGAGAGGGTCAGAAAAAGAGAGGAATTTCTTCAACAAGATGAGTTGGTCCAATGAGTTTAACAATAGGCTTAAGCAAAACAAGAGATTGTGAAAGATAGTGCAGGATTGAGCCAGACTTCATTAATTTGTACCTAGTGTTTCTGTGAGGTGGAGAAAACTCAACAGTACCTAACAACAACAAATAGGATTTTTTTCATGTTTCCATTATTACAATATAATTGTTTCATGCATACCTCTGTTATGATTCTATTTTACGTATCTTAACTATAACAACTTTTGGAACATGGTATATTTGTTTCTGTGTTCATGTTTCCTCAATAGAAGATGAATTCCCACAAGGCAGTAATTATATTTTTCCTTCTTGATTTATTCAGTATTGTTGTTTGCCTTTAAGACAACTCTGACTGATAGCCACCTTTTATGACAGAGCAGAATTGCCCAAAAGAATTTCATGGACCGTAAAATTTCTGTAGTCTTCAAAGGAACAGATCTGTAAGTCTTTTTAACCCCCCCCCCCCCCAGAGGGACTGGTGGGTTTGAACTGTGACCTTTTGGTTAACTGCAGTTTGCTTAACTATTGCACCAACAGGGCTCTTTAGTGACCAGGATGTTGCTGTTGTTGTTGTTGTTAGGTTCCATTGATTCTACTGTGATCATAGTAGTCCTACAAACAACAGATAGAAACTTTGTCCTATCATGTATCTAATGTTTCAGTCTCTGTCATGTTTAAGTCCATTGTTGCAATTACTGTGTTAATCCAACTGGTTGAGAATCTTCTCCCTGTTTCCTGACCCTTATAGTGACAAGCATGTTGCTGCTGTTGTTATGCTCCATTGACTCAACTACAACTCATAGTGACCCTATGAACAATAGCTCTGAAGCCTGCCCTATCTTGAACTGATCTTACTCTCTCTGACATACCTGCTTCCATTCCCACAGTTACTGTGTCAATCCATTTCATCTGGGGTCTTCTTCTCCTGTGCTGACCTTTCACTTTTCCAAACTTCCAAGTAGGTTCCAAGGAACTTCTCCAAATCCCTCCTGGCCACATGCCCAAACTATGTGAGATGGAGTTTCAAATTTCTTGTCTCCAAGGAGCAAACTGGTTTCAGCCTCTACAGGACAGACCTGCTCTCTTGGCAGTCCATAGTACGTTTAATACTCTTCTCCAGCACCACTACGCGATGACATTGATTCTTCTTCTGTCATCTTTAGCCATTGTCCAGCTCTTTGATGCATAGCAAGTAACTGAGAAGACCATGGCTTGGATCAGGCACACGTTAGTCTCTAGATGACAATGTTGTTCTTTAGCATTCTGGAGAGATTCCTGAGAGCAGACTTACCCAACGCAACTTGTATTTTGATTTTTGACAGCTGGTGCCAAGAGTGTTGACTGTGAACCCAAGCAAGATGAAATTGTTAACAACCCCAGTATCTTTTCCACTTATCATGATGCTGTCAATTGGCCAAGTGGTGAGAACCTTTCTTTTCTTGATGTTGAGCTTTAATCCATATTGAAGACTGTAGTCATTAACCTTCTACAGCAAACGTTTCAAGTCCTCCTCGGTTTCGATGAGCAAGACTGTGTCATTTGCATAACACAGGTTGTTGATGAGTCTTCCTCCAATCATGATGCCATGTTCTTCTACATCAAGGCCAGCCTCCTGAAGTGACCAGTAAGTATAGTGCTGGGCAAAAGGAGATGCTTAGCAATTGTTTCTTGAATGAATGGATGAAACTCCATGGATTCTTCTCAATCCCACTGACTTCAAGTTGGAACTGACTCATGGCTGATTCTCCAGTAGACTTTCGGAGGTGATGAATCTCACGAGAGCGGCTTGCCCATCTTTCTCTTATGGAGCTACTGGTGGTTTTCAAAGTCCAGAGAGCTGCTGCCTGCAGTCGAACTGGAGTCATAGTCTAATTCCCTCAACTCATAGTCGAATTCTCTAGAATTAGGACTCTACCTTGATTGGTGGCTAATTTGACCCCTTCTTGTCCTACACGCTGATGTGAGCCCATGTGAGTTTGCTGGTTTTCTACCACACTACTAATATTTAGGATATCACTGTTACCAAATGCCTTCTACTGGAGTTGCTTTTGTAGTTTGGTTGGAAAAAAGTGCTATATATTTCATATGATTGTGAAATAATAAAACAAGTAATAACCTCAAATGCCAGAAAACATTCTTTTCACAGAAATTAAAAAAAAAACCCAGTTCTGCAAGATCCACTTACAAAATATGCACAAACTGAGAAGATGGTGTTGCAGACTGAGTGCCATGTATCACTTTCATAATAGGAACAAGAATGTTTGCTCCACAGCAGTATGTGGTTAGGATAAAAATACCTTCTCAAGCCAGGGCATTTTCTTCATGTTAAGCCACAGGAGGGAGTAATGAGGGGGAAATGATTGATTGATTATAACATTTAGATGTAAGTTTTCAGAACCAATTCTTGTTTAAATATGGTAAGACTCCAACTTACTGCTGTTGAGTTGGAACTGACTCATAGCTGACCCTCCAGAGGGATTTCAGAGACTGTAAATCACAAGGGAAAAGTTTGCCTGTTTTTCCCCCCAAGGAGCAGCAGGTGTGAGTGAATTGCCATAGAGGCACTGCCATTGTGTTAGCAGTGCAACTGCCTATAGACTGTGCCGCCAGAATGAGCATTTTTATACAGCAAAGAGGAAAGCGAAAGTCGCTGGAGATTTGCAAGGATTTGTGAATAAAGACATAAAGCTATTTCTTAGTCATTGCCTGGTGCATACATTAAAGACAGGAATGTTAGGTTTCTGATCTTATCTGTTAAAATTAGGTTGGGATGTAAATAACAGAAAATTCCAAAGAATAGTGACTCAATTATAGAAGTACTTATTTTTCTCTAAGACAAAATAATTCCTCAGAAAACCAAAATCCTGACACACTGGTTCACCACAATGACTTCTTTATTTCATTTTTAATTCCATTCACTTATTTATCTAGATTTGCCTCTTCTTCCTTGTCCTTTCATTCAATGATGCAAGTCCTATTGAGATCGTCAGATCGGCAGCTACATTACTCATAATATCTGACTGTCCATTCTTTGCAGATTGATCTTCCTTTTACCTATTCTGATACAATGTTCCTTATCTATCCATTCTCTTACTTCTGTCTCCAGCACCAGTCCTGTTTTTGGAACAGTGATCCTAGACATTAATTGTTGTTTTTTTATTTTATTTTATTATTTTTGTGTGAGTGTATTGTCAAATCAGATCTGACTGGTACAGGAGGAGATTGTACCTCCTTCCCCGGCAGAGCATCTGGCGGATAATTGTCCTTTTGTGACCGAGTTATTTCACTCAGGATAATATCATCTAGACTCATCCATGTGATATAATACTTCTTGAGTTCTTCATTGTTTTGAAATGCTGTGTCATACTCTATCGTGTGACTGCATCACAGTTTCTCTACCCTTTTGTTTCTTGATGGACACGTGGGCAGCTTCCACCTCTTTGCTGCTGGGAATAATGCTGCAATAAACATGAGTGTGCACACATGCTTTTGTGTCACATCTCAGTTTTCTTTGGAGTATATTCCTAGTAGTGGGATTGTTGTTGTTGTGTGCTATTGAGTCAGCTGCAACTCATGAACAATGGACCTTAAACTTACTCTCGCCTGTGTCTTCCTCGTCATCTCTGCTATACTCCAGCCCATTGTTAGCCATTGTGCCGATCCATCGAGTTGAGATTTTTCCTCTCTTCCACTGTCCTTCCAGTTCTACAAGCATGATGCCATTTTCTAGGGCCTGGCCCCCTCTAACAATATGCCCAACGTATGAGAAGTTTTACCATTTTTGCCTCTGAGAGGCATCCTAACTGCATTTTCTCAGACACATATTTGTCCATTCTTTTGGCAGTCCCTGGGACATTCAGTGTTCTTCTCTAACCCCATAATTCAAAGGCATTGATTCTTCCTCTGTCATATCTATTCATTGTTCAACTTTCACATGCATGGGAAGTAACGGAACCGTGGCTTGAATCCCGTGTACTTTAGTCTTTACATTTATATCTTTGCTTCTTTGCACTTTGGAGATGTCTTTAACAGAGGATTTTTCCCAAAGCAGCTGGTACCAAGACTGTGGATCCAAGCAAGACAGAGGGATAGCTGAGTCAAGCTGTAGCTCTATTTCTAGTCTTCTGAAGAAGTGCTAGACTGCCTTTCACAGTGATGATAGCATTTTACATTCCGACTAGCAGTGCATGAGAGTTCCAATTTCTCCAAACCTTTGTCAGCATTTGTTATTTGCTATTCTCTTGAACTTTACCACTGTTGCTGGTGAAAGATGATAGCTTATTGTTGTTTTTATTTGTATGTGTGGATCATAACTCTGACTCTGAGAAGAATGGGAATCCCAGAACACTTGATCATGCTAATGCAAAACCTATACTTGGACCAAGAGGCAGTCATCAGAACAGAGCAAGGAAACTTTGCATGGTTCAGAATTGGGAAGGGCGTACACC